GCTGGGGTGAAGTGTATCCGGGTAAGCGCTGTTCAGTCCGTTTGTTCTTCGTGTATTCGCGTTGTGTGTTTGGAAGTGGAACCCCCGCGGCCGCAGGCGCGCACATGGGGCTCTGCCGTGTGCTCCGGTGGCGCGATTGAACGCGCCTTCACCCCAGAGCGTTTGGTCCAGGTTCCTTTTTCTATAAGGAAAAAGGGAGGAAGAAAACAAAAGTGTCGGGGGGGGAGACTAAAAAGCAGCAGAATTCATAGAAATAATATTTTAATTGCTTTCTGAGCTTCTTGGCGCTTGGACACACGGGAAAATGCATTATTTAGCTGTGAAGCACAGCACTGAGGGAGGAGACCCCCCCTTCTAGGAGAGGAAGAGATACGCACTGTCTTTGAACTCTTATTGAAGCGTTCGGGTGATTAAGGCAATCTGTGATTCTTCACAGGGCTTACAAAGAGTCAATAGAGAAGCTGTGTCTGCCCCATCCCTGGCAGTGTTCAAGGGCAGGTTGGACACAGGGGCTTGGAGCAACCTGCTCTAGTGGAAGGTGTCCCTGCCCGGGTCAGGGGTTGGAACTGGAGGAGCTTTAAGGTCCCTTCCAGCCCAAACCATTCCAGGATTCTCTGGTTCTGTAATAGAATTATCTATGAGTTTTAACTCAGTACATTTCAACTTAAATGTTTTGCTAACTTGATTGTTTTCATTAGGATTTCACTTTGAGTTAATGACCCTATGAAATAAAAGCTAATGGCAGTAATAATCCACACGCAGACACACGCTTTTAAATGCGCAGCATTGCTGCGTAATGTAGGTAGGATAGTGGTTTTTATTGTGTTTGTGGACAAAGTTTCTTGAGTCTTCAGTGATGGGTTTTGAGTGGTTTCTGTGTGTCCTGCGCTGGTGTGCACAGCTGTGTTTCACTTGCAATTGTTTGTGCACTGGATAAAATTTGCAGTATAATGCTTATTTTGATTTAGTAGTCCGTCTTTTGAGGATGCTGTATCACTGTTACATCTGTTTCAGTTTGGAGGTCTTGATATATCAGGGAATCCCAGACTGGTTTGGGTTGGAAGGGACCTTAAAGCTCCTCCAGCTCCAACCCCTGCCCCGGGCAGGGGCACCTTCCACTAGAGCAGGTTGCTCCAAGCCCCTGTGTCCAACCTGGCCTTGAACACTGCCAGGGATGGGGCAGCCACAGCTTCTCTGGGCACCCTGTGCCAGCGCCTCAGCACCCTCACAGGGAAGAGATCTGAAAATACATTGAGTTTTCCTCAATTTTGTACAAAACATCAAGGTGTACATTGCTGATATTCATAGAATCACAGCTTGGAAGGGACCTCGGGGATCATCTAGTCCAACCTATCTCAACAAAGCATGGCCTAGACTAGATGGCCCCAAATTGTATTAATGTACTAAACATTTATAGCTGTAGAAACTTAGAGATTTGTAAAGCCATATACTTAAAGGGCATTTGTTTCTCTGTAATTCTCAGCCTTTTTATTTTTGCCATATTAGCCTTTCCCTTCATCACTTTATGTGGAAAAAGGAAAATCTTTTATGCAGATGTTCTCATCATAGAAGGGGACGTGGTAGTTCTGTCAATCTGACAATATGATTGTCAGGTAGGGCCTGGTTGCTGAGACAGAGCTTTGCTCACTGCAGTGTTGTACGTAGCAGAGTATTGTTGTATGGTACTGTTTGCTTTGCAGGCTCTTGCTTTGGATGCAACACAGGGAGAAGAACATGAGCACAAAGTAGCAAGACTGAAAGCACCAAAATATATGATGGGTCTTTATTTGCCTGGGGTTTTTTTAATAGATGAAAGATGGAGGGTTTATAAACTTTGTCATACCAAGCTATTATTTTGGGTAGTGGAAAAAGCCATGAAGCAAGACCAGTGTTAGAAAATCTAGTGCTCCCGTGGTGTATATCGATTTTATGGCTATGATTTGCACAGTATTCAGAAGCATTGTAAGCTGTGTTTTGTTCAGAATTTACTGGCTTAATCATTCAGTGAGATCCTTGGATTTTAAAGTACTTGGAAAGTTCCTGGATGCCAGGAGTGAATGCTGTATACGCCAAAGATACAATCTGTTCCCTTACATAGGCAGCTTCATAAGTAAATCATGTGCTCTCAATCATTTCTGTAGAGCTTCCTTGCTTTACTAGACCATGGAAGAATATCTGAGCATGTCCTCTGATTCTTATCGTCCCTCCTTGCTCCCCAGGTGGTTGTATACCTGTTTTCTACGTTATAAATAGGGCTTTAAAGCTGTTCTCCCCGTGGACAGTAATGGTCATGACCTCGATTTGGGATTGAAGAGATTTATGAGTCCGAACTGGTGACACAAGTAAAGTTCAGTTGTTTAGATTGTTTAGGAAGTGGAATACAAACTGACAGCTCTAAGGCAAAATTTGGATGCTCTTGAGCAGTGGTTCTCAGAAGACCAGGTAGGCAGAGCCGCCTTGGCAGGCAGTACTCTTAGTATAGAATACCAGTAAAAACACTGTGTAGGCACACAGCATTTGTTCTGGAAGGAGAAACAGGAGTTGACATTCTGGTTTTGCTGTGCCTGGGTCTCATCATGCACCTACTGAGCAGACTTCCAGAGTGGGGTTAATGGTACCATTAGGATTTGAGGAAGCAGCAGAAACATCATTTTGGCTGTAATTACTTAAGTATCTTCATCTTTAGCCAAGGCATTACACTCCAATCCTGCAGTTTCAAGAGTTTAACTGCCTGGATCAAGCCTCTGCAGTAGGAGTCTAAAGTGGCTACAGCCAACATAATTGTGTGAACCAGATTGCAGGAATAAAAGCATTAAAGGTTTGTTCACCACACAATTTGTAAGTTGGTTTTAGAAAGTTGCTTTCACAGATGCTCTCTAAAGATTACAGAAGAAATGATAACTCCAGCTGTTGCTGAGATTACTCAAAGACGGAAATAAGTTCTATTTCTGATGTTGACTATTACTTGTTTTCAGGTTTCTTACAGTTTAGCTTTGTTTTGATATAGCTTCCTGCCAAGTGTGTTTGATATTCTCTGTTTTACTTCTTCACAGGAAGTGAATATTGAATTTGAGGCACATTCCATATCAGACAATGACTATAATGGGATAAAGAAGTTACTGCAACAGGTACTTTGACTTCTTGTTAGCTTGCTTGATATGTCCATTGATAAATAATACCTAAAGAGTTATGCAAAGTCATCAGTTCACATTATCTGTATTGTGTCATAGTTTTACTGTGCTTCAGCTCATGAATTACGGCCACAGTCTCCATGTGTCTCCTAAACCATGGTTTCAAGAACTTTACCTAATGAACCGTAGGGCTGTTATTTCACAGTGTGTATAATCTTTCTGTTTTCACTGTGTTAGCTGCTGCCCAGAAAGCCTTCAATGTTAATCAACTTCCTGGAGGTCTTTTTGTAGATCACAGCCCTTAAAAACCAGACAAACCAGGAATGTGTCTGCTGAATGTGGCAGCTTCCAGGCGTCTTTTGGCTGTTGTAAACCTATGCTCAGCAAGCATTTAGATCATAGCAAATTCAAAGGATAGCAGGTATGCAAAATGCCAGCTTGTGGAGGGTTGAGGAGCTTCAAGAAGCTGATTTTTAGTCCCTACAGTATTGTATTGAAGGAAGTTAAATAAACAAACTCACTAAATGGAAATTAAAAGTGGAACAGAGTATTTCTACTTAGGGAAATTGCTGACTTTAGTTTCTAGTGAGTAGTCCATGATGTATCATGATGCCAAAAACTTGTTGATACTTGTTTCCTATTTTCCAGTTGTTTCTAAAAGCTCCTGTTAACACTGCTGAATTAACTGATATATTAATACAACAGAATCATATTGGAAGCATCATCAAGGTAAGACAGAATTTACATTTCTAAATGAAGTACAATACTTTTTATGTTGAAATGACACAACAGATATTCAGAAAGGGAGCCTGGATTTGTAACTTGTATGCTTTCTTCCTTTTTAGCTTTGAGAGGAATTCTTCTCTAGGAGCTGAAATATTCCGTGTCTGGTTTCAACCAAACAAGGAATTCAATTTATTATTTTGGCTGGTTTCTTTTTACACATGAAGGCTTTTCACTTTTCTCTCTGAATTTTGGTGTGATAGAGTAATAATGCTGACAGTTCTATGGAGAAGTTTGTTGCCACCTCTGTAAGAAATAGGACCTTACGATTTCAGGATGGACAGCAATGTCGACCAGAAATGTCCTGCATCCCGTTTCCTTTTGCACAGAGTTCTCTGGACATAGGAAGGGATTCCAAAATGAGTCCTGAACAAGTTCTGCTAAGGCAGTGGAGCACTCTGCAAAGACTCCTGAGTTACTCCTGGCTAAGGAAGCTCTTCAGTACTGTAGAGTGCTCAAAATGTCATGGCCATATAGCTTTCAAACCCAAAACTGCTGCCATGGCGCAGTTGTGCCACAGTTGTACCACGTTGCTTGGTGCCATTGCTGTACATTACCTTTTTGTCATGTGCCAACAGTTTTTCCACCCACATTTAATACAATCCTTCCATTACAACTTTGTGACCCCCGGTTCTTTCCCCAGGTTTTTCATAGCAGGGTTTTGTTCAGCTTTTTGTTTCACTATCAAAGCTCGGTTGTTCTCTGGGTTTTAAGACTTTGCAGGTTTACTTCCTTATGTTTGAAACAGAAGAAAATTGGTGTTGCTTAAGATATTGCCATGCCTTGTACTGAGATGCTGCTTATTAAATGTGAGCTATCAAATTTTAGTGCCTTTCCAAAGATCCTGCGGGAGAAGATACATGACCTGGCTCTAAGTACACAAGAGTCAATGATGTGGCACTTTCATAACTGTAACCAGAATGTGTAGGTTGTGTGTTTGTAGAGATTACCTGGATGGTTCTCATCTGAGCATCTTCTGGAAAGAAAACTGTTTTTTGCTGCAGAGTAGAAATAGCAATGACTCATACTGACATTCTGTTTCTGTTATTAAACAGCAAGCAGAAGTCCAAGAAGACAGTAGCGATGATGATGAAGATGATGATGAAGTCTTTGGTTTCATTAGCTGCTTAAACTTAACAGAAAGGAAGGTATGTTGTGGTTAGGTATTCCTCGTTAACATCTAGACAGTTATAAGTGAGACTGTGTCCTGCTTTTCTGCCTTGTACAACAAGCCTAGGCAGCTGGATCAGGATTTAGATTTCCACCATGGAGGACTATGGTCTTAAAAGTTGCACATCGCATAGCTTGCTTCAGCTCTGGTCCTGCATAAGTTGCTGAAGGTCAAACGTAAAGCTAGGAATGGAACAGATTTAAAACTAGGTCTAACCATAGTTCCAGTGTAACTGAGCTGTCAGCCTCTTGTATTTCTTCATTGTCACCTTTTGCAGCTTGAATTTTGCTGGTGAGTGTACTGGTGTTGCAGCTCCACACTGCTCAGTTAAGAAACTTTCTTTGCCCTCAATTTCAGGGTTGGTAAATAATTCCAGAGAACGTGTAGATAGTGCTGAAGGAAATCACCAATAGGTCTGTAGAGTATTCCCTGGAAGTTCACATTCAAGGTTTCCTTGTGTAAATTATTGTTGTGTAAAGAAAATACACCTTTTGGTATATAAAGATATATATGTATGTCTTTCAGGATACACAGTGTGTTGAACAAATCAAAGAGCTGATTCTAAGTCGATGTGAGAAGAGCTGTGAACAGCACGTAGTTGAACAACTGAGTAAGCTCCTAAATGACAGTACTAAGCCTGTGGGTCTTATACTGAGTGAAAGATTCATTAATGTACCACCACAGATTGCTCTGCCTATGCACCAGCAGCTTCAGTAAGTTTGCTTGGGGTTATTTTGACATGATTTCTCCATATTTTTTCAGCAATCTATGTATGTAGAAGTATGTTAAGATAGGTGATGGTATAGCTATAAGTAAGACATGAACACATGTATTTGCATCTCATATAAGGTCTTTAGTTCATTTCCTAAAATTATTTATATCTTTAGGCTCTTAAAACTCTTTAAGATAGAGGAAGCCATTTAAGAGCGTGTGCTGTTCTACTGCAGAGATAGCTCTGTGTATGTGTAGTTTATCTTTGTCTTGCAGATTATTTTCCTTTTGATGTAGGAAAACTTAATTAGAATTTCTTATGGCATACTGATAATGAGACCTTTAAGGAATTAATACATTGATAATGAAAGAAAACATGTAGACAGGGTTGGTCAGGAAGGTTTTTGGAGAAAGAAATGAGGTGCTTGAAGGCTTAGTTTGGAGGTTTACCACTAGTACAGCACTTGTCATAGCTCAAATTCAGATGTCAGCCTCTGTCTTCCAGGGGTTGGACCGTTGCAGTGGCAACATGTTTACACAAGGGTGGGCAGGAGACTTTTCTGGCTCTTCAGTTACAGTTCCTCATGAACTGATAGTGTGATGTACTTTCTAATGCACTCTGAGGTTTAATTACATGCTTGTCGAGGGTATATATTGCATATGTAGATGTATTTTTAAATTGTATGTGTAAACATTTATTTGTCTTTAGGAAAGAGTTGACGGAGGCACAGAGAACAAACAAACCTTGTGGAAAGTGCCACTATTACCTCCTTATCAGCAAGACCTTTACAGAAGCCACGAAGAGCAATTCTAAGAGGAAGGGAGGGAGAAACCAGCAGGAGGAGGAATTAATGTTTGCAAATGCAGAAGAAGAGTTCTTTTATGAGGTAACATATGTGTATCTTTTAAAATGTTTATGGGTTTTTTATATATTATTAAAGTGCTTCACTTTAAGGGGGCTTTTAAAGAGACATGGTCACATATTGCTTCAATTAGATCCATCCTTTTTTAGAGTAATTTTAAGAGATGAGCAAGCAACTTATTTTTGTGTATTGAGCCCAACACCTTTTGTATTCAGAGAATCAGGGAGAGATATACCATCCATAAGTCCAATTGATTACATTAATCCTCTGTATTGGCATGAATTTACTGATATGTTACTTATATCAGGTCACAATAAACCTGACTATGGGATGCTGTGGCATAGACTGCCTGTGGCAGTGTTGCTACATGATAGAGGCTCCAGTGCTATGAGGATAATGGAAAATCTCAGAGAATACTAAGCAGAGACTTGAGGGGAAAGGTCAGGTTTGACTTTGGTTTGAGGCCAGTGTCTTGGCCTTGAGGAATTAAGAAACTTCATCTCTTTTTACTCATAGCAGTGCTAAAGAGATGAATTGAATGTGATGGTCAGACTTGTTGAAATACTGTGAATGGAATATCCACATTTTGAGAATGAACAATGATAATAAATCTGGGTGTTGAATTTAGCAGCATGTCCCAGGATTTCTGAGTTTAGAAAAGCCTGAAATCCCTTTTTTGGGGGGAGCTGTGCAGTTGTCTTCTTTAATCTGAATAATAAGAAATGCGAAAGACATGTTAAACTGCTGTGTCCGATGAACAGAGAAGACAGGGGGGGATGTGAATTACCCATAGTCTGCACAGGAAGTGCATGTTAGCTTGAGATTTAAGCTAGTGTGATTTACAACACAAGTGTTCAAGAGTGACAGCTCAAACAACAGGTAGTAACTTGCCAGGGTGCTCTAACTTAATCGTGTCACAGCTTCAAGCACTTAGAGGAACAAAGATTGAAAAGAATGCAGAGGGATCTCTGTTGTTAATCTCCATCAGCATCTGCACTGTATGGCAGTACTTAAATACACAGATCTCTTTTGCTTGCCCCTACATAGTTAGTTAGTCCTGTGTCAGAAAAAATAGCAGCTGTTGAGGCTTCATTTAGATTCAGTAATGCAGTTAAATAAATTTCTCCTGAGATCTCTTTCCAAGAAACTGAATAGATGCAAAGTTCTGCATTTATGGTGGTGGTGTCGTTATTATAGAGTCACAGAATGCTTTGGGCTGGAAAGGACCTTAAGATCATCCAGTTCCAAACCCCTGCCATGGGCAGGGTCACCTCACGTAGACCATGATGCCCAAGGCTTTGTCCAGCCTGGCCTTGAACACTGCCAGGGATGGAGCATTCACTGCTTTTTTGGGCACCCTGTGCCAGCGCCTCAGCACCCTCACAGGGAAGAGCTTCTTCCTTATATCTGACCTGAACTTCCCCTGTTTCAGTTTGAACCCATCACCCCTTGTCCTATCACTACAGTCCCTGATGAAGAGTCCCTCCCCAGCATCCTTGTAGCCCCCTTCAGACACTGGAAACTGCTCTGAGGTCTCCATGCAGCTTCCCTTCTTCAGGCTGAACAGCCCCAATTTTCTTAGCCTGGGGAAAGATGATTTATCTTTTCCCTTTTGGATACCTGTTACATTCAGAAAATGCTCAATATACAAACTTCTGAAGCTCTAGAGAAGGAGCTGTCACTTTCCTTTTCTGTCTCTATTCTACTTAGGACAAATATATTAATAAAAAGTGCTAAAATACTGGGATGAAACTATTACTTCACAACTTCCTATTTCCTGAGGCAACCTGCCCACTCAATTCTGCTGGCCCCAAGCCAGGACACCCAGGTCTTGGCACGTCCCCAGCCAAGATCAGGAGAGAGGAAGATGCAGGAAATGGAATCAAAAATGTGCTTTGAAATGCACAGAATTTTTCATTTTCATGATTTTTTTTCTGAAGCTTTAAAAATACTATTCTACAATATTACTGCTTTGTCAGGAGACTGTTGTTTCTCATTTCTGGCAGTGCCTACAGGATAAAGCACTTGCACATGCATCATGGTTAATGGCAAAGCTTCCTCTGTGTGATCATTCATGACATTCTCTGGTATGGGCTGTGATATGGCTGTAATTTTATTTCTTGGGAAGAAGAAAAATGGAAGTGGGTGAATTCCTTGTTAGCTATAGGGAATGCTGATGTGGCCTCTGTGCAGTAACAAGTCTGTGATTTGCTTTTTGTGCTCCTGCCACAGCAGCTTTACCAGCTGAACGTGAACTCTGTGTAAGCATGTTATTGAAGAACTGAAAGGGGAGAAGCCTGTGATGCCCGTGTGTCCTTATGGCTTATGTCCTGGAGGCCTATTTTGTATTTATCTATTTTGTTATTTTGAGTGGTATTTCAAAGACTTTTGTCTAAATTGCAGTAATTTTCAACTCAAATGGATAGACTCGAACTGAACATGGTTTTCTTTTTAACATTCTAGTGTTTTTAACAAATTCATTTTAAACATTATGGAGGATAGTAGATTAATTTGCTCTCTGGACTTTATAACGTATATGTGTTAGATTAGTGTTGGTGTGTATATCCTTCCTGATCATGCATAATGTTAATTAGATTGCCATAAAATAGTATTAAATGCAGTCAGGCAGACACTTAGAGCCATATAAACCAGAGAGAAGCCTTTTTGCACTTTGCAGTTCCCTGTGCTTTATTCTGTTCATGAAAATGTTATTGAGGGAGCAGAAGAAAAGCTCTGTTATAACCAGACTGGAACTGATTAAAGGTTTAGGGCCTCCATTGCTCAAATTGTTTGTTGTTGAGCAAAGCCACTCCGTTAATGCATTGGTTTTTCCAAAATCAAATTTACAACCTTGAGATTCTGTTAGGAAATAGCAAACCTAAAAGGAGCCTGGAGCTTAACTTACCCTGCAAGGGAAGAGGTTAGGTAAGTTCTTCTAATTAGGAATTCAGCTCATGCTTCTTAATCTGACTTGTGTGAGAACTAGAAGCATTTGTTAGATAAGTTTTTCTTCTCCATCAGGCATTTTGCCTGGGAAAGCTAATAAAAAGGGACTGTTATATCTGTATGCAGGATGTATCACTGAAAAGAAATAATACACATTATGGACACCTACCTATTTGAAGCATCATCATTTATAATATGTCTTTTGGTGGCTCCAGCCATCTACAGGCTTTACAAGAGGTTTTTGAAATTCCACTCAGGATTCATGTCAGTGCCCATTCCCTTAATGCTTAATTTCTAGTGGCAGTGTGAAAGAGGGGATTACTGTACCACATATTCTTACAGATACATTCATTTTAGGAGCAGTTTTAGAGTAGGCCATGAAAATAGCAGAGCCTATTCAGTGCTACAGACCTTCCACATTACCCACACCAAGCTGTCATCTTTAGTGCAGGCTCTACTCCACCAGCACACTCTCACTGTTCTTTTTATCTGGCTTTTGGCTGATCTCCTAATTCTCAAAATTACCCAGCTACTGGTTTGGTCACGGTCTGAGTCTGAAGGTATTAAAGGCTAGATATTCCTGTTACTGGTCAAGGATACCTGCTAGTTGGCACAATAGCTTCTAAGGGTCAGCATTTCTTAATGTGATAATAGGGAGTGAGATGCTGTCTTAAATTCATCTAAAAGGATATAAATGGCCTTCCCCCCTGCCTCTTAGGTCTTTTTTCTGATACGAAACTATAATCATTTTAGAGTTTAATATGAATGATAAAAATCCTGTGAAAAGCAAATAGTTTAAAACACTTAATAGTGGATTCTCCTGTAGGTTTTTTGTGGTGGGCATTTTGAGAGGGAAGAAAATAACTTCTTAATAAGCATGTGCATAACAGGGTCATTGTTTTTACTTTGATGTATTGACTTCATTCTGATGACAAAATTGAATCCTAATGCATTTCTTTCTGTTGTTTAGAAAGCCCTTCTGAAGTTCAACTACTCTGTGCAAGAGGAAAGCGACACTTGTTTGGGTGGCAGGTGGTCCTTTGATGATGTACCAATGAAACCCTTGCGGACTGTTACGATAGTTCCAGCTGATGGAATTCATGCCATTATGGATAAACTGAAAGACTATCTCTCAGTCTGAGCTTTCCTACAAACACTGGTTTTTATAAAGCAGCCGTGCAGAGCTAGGATTTCAGTATTTTCAGAAGGCTGCTGTTGAGTTAATGGTTTTCTCCTGCTCAAATGCTTCCTCTGTACGTTTAGAAGACAAGTAGATGGCACAATTAAAAGTATCTATGAAATTAATATTTTTCATTATTCTGTCTTCTTACATATTGGTCTCATCGTTAAGCAGTCAATAAAAAAAAACAGTGTAACAAGAAAACTTGAAGATCTGCTCAATATGGTTTTAACCAAAACTAAATTGTATATTTTTGTTACAGAATAACAGATGCAGCTACTTCTGTTAAGGAAAAAAGCTTTTTTTCTGTATGTTTTTTCTGTTAAATACATTTATTTCAAAAGTTTGAAATAATTACATGGGTTAAGATGGAGATGGATATTTCATACACTGCTTTTCTTTGTATTTGTCCAATATATGATGTTTCGGTCTGAAATCACTGAATAAGACATCTTTGTTCAGTGGGAGTTTGGGGGAATTGTTCATTTCCTTTGTCATCGTTAGTTTTCTGTTCCTCCTTCATGGCTGAAGCAGGTGACAAGTGATTGATCATGCCCTGCAGAATATCCTTGCTTTCACTGGGAGGAAGATTGCTAAAATAATACTGAGGTACCAGCTCCACGAACCTGGTGAGGAAATAAGACAAAACATTTGTGAGTATCTTTTAATGGGAAATGTTTGAATTCAAGGCTTGTATAAAAGACATCAGCAACATGCTACAAAGCTGGTACTTCAACTCAAACCCAAAACCCTCTGCAAGATGCAGTAGTAGTTTGTGGGTTTGGTAGTCTCACAATGTACTCAGTCTACACTTCAAGGTGATTTTCATTCAGTTCTCAATGCTGCAGATTGAATTAAATAGTAATTTTCCTGCATTCGGACATATTTTTGGTTCAATAAACTGATGAAAAAGGCTTTCTTAGAAGCATTGGAAATAGAAAAGATAGGACAGTGAAATGTATATTCTTGATGTAAAGAGATTTTTGCAGAAGGAAGATTGTAGTCTTCTCTTGAATCCATGAACAGTTGATACGGACTGATCTAGGTGGCTGGGTACATAAAATACATTGAGAGAAAGATTTGCTGGAAAATAGGTTTTCAGGGAACAGAGATTTCCAGTAAGATTAATCTATGAGTACACTGCTCTGTTAACTCTTCCTTGATGGTTTTTTTTGCTGTATATTTTACTCTGTAAGAAACTTTTGCCACTTGTCAGGTGTTTTTCCAGTGGATGCGTTGATTACAGTTGCAGTGGCAATACCTGTGCAGATCAGCACGTTAGGAAATGCAAAAGGCTGACTTAAATGATGTTTTGGTTTGCATGTAAAGAATAGTGATGGTGTGATATCACAGTTCTTCCCTTTTTTAATCATTGTGAGCTCTAATGCAGTGAGTGTTCTGAATGACAGTGCAGACATCAAGCAAAGCTGCACACAGTGACAGAACAATACTGGCAACAAAGAAATTTATCCCACATATATTCACTCGTGAGTATGAAAAGTGTGAAAAGCAACAGTTTCTTCACCCTTCCAGTGATGAGGGGTGAAGCTCCTCTTGCTTGACTATTAGATCTTAGGCAGAAGTTCTTTCCCTGTGAGGGTGCTGAGGCGCTGGCACAGGGTGCCCAGAGAAGCTGTGGCTGCCCCATCCCTGGCAGTGTTCAAGGCCAGGTTGGACACAGGGGCTTGGAGCAACCTGCTCTAGTGGAAGGTGTCCCTGCCCGTGGTGGGGTTGGAGCTGGAGCAGCTTTAAGGTTCCTTCCAACCTAAACCAGTCTGGGATTCTATGACTGGGTAGTTTTTATGACAGAGATAAATCAGTTGACTTCTCCAAGCATTGCTTTCAGTGTACAACACATATCCTTACTCTGTGACTTAAGTTATGCTTTTGTGGTAGAGGTGTGCGTGAAGAGACAGTTTAATCATTGTTAACTTACAGATCAGGTGAGATCTCGGAGACTACTCTGATGGAATTGTCTTCTGATATACTAAACTCGTGGAATAAAACCCACTCGGGAATCCTTCTGCTGTTACAATAAGATGAGAAAGGATGAAGCTGGGCCACTTGTCTGTGTGTTAACATTAAGTAGTTACCTGAGCCATCTACATCACGAGCAATCTAAAAAACAAACATTCAAGGAGTTGTCCGTTACTTCATTGGATGTGCAAGATACATAGATCAGTGTCTGCTTATTATATTAAAACCAGGAATTAAACTTGCATTCACATACTTTGAACTGGAGAGCCTAAATATCAGTGTTCTTCCCAAATATCTGTGAGAAATAAATATCTGGGTACTATGAAATGAGGCTTGGTGTTTAAGAAATTCTTGATCTGTATAGTTGAAAGGAAACTGCAACAAATGAGGGCAGGTTTATACAGTAAGTATCTGAACTTGGCTTTGAAGGGTCTGTGTGAAAACAGATGTATTCTTTAAGAATTCAAAGGCTTTAAAATACAGTGTGCAGCCCTTGTAGTTTGGAGGGGTCATTTTATTTAAGTGGAGCATAGTGATGTGAAGGAAAGCATGTTACCAAGTGGAAATAAATCAATCTTTCTTATTTATGTATACAATTACAGTTAGAGTATCTTCTTTGGTTGAGGTGAAGAAAGCTGTCTATTATGTGTACCTAAACATATTAAGTCAATTCTTGTTTTCCAGGGTATTTTCACAACAAAATCTTCAAAGAGAAAGAATTCCTGGGAGAATATTACAAATTAAAGAGGTTTTTGAAGTAAAATAGTTCTTTGAGTGAGAGGCATATTGACAGTTTTCCTCTTGCAGTGAAATGTGTGGACTTCATGCTGTGATAGCTGAACCCAAGAGAGAAGATTGGAATTGGCCCAAGTGTTTGATACTCTGGAACAAATGGCTTATATCCTTTGTGCTGAGCAAGGTTTCATTACCTAACTTAAGTTCTCTGAAAGCATTCTATATAACATAACAATGCAGTAAGGTGAAACAGCAGTATTTTTCCTTACGTGCATAAAGTAACCAGATAAGAGAGATTTCTTAATGTTTAGGATATTTTCCTTTGATCCAAAGTCCGGTTCTGAAATGGGAAGTTCAATTCGCTTCATTATCTCCACTAGTTCAGCTCTGATAATTTCTGCCATCCTCAGTGCAGAGCTGCTTAGAAAATAATCACGACACCATTTCTCAGCACTGTAGTCTGTGGAGGAAAAAACAGGTTTGGCTTAAAGCAAAGTTTTACTGATGGTTCCTCTCCATAGAGATACTGCTCTGTGAAATGCTCTTTGGTGCAATAGCTCAAAACCAGGGAGTAGCTGTGTCAGAGCTGTCAACATTCTGGTAGCAAGAGCTGTATGGACAGCTTGGGCTCACTGGTGTGGGAAGCGAGGGAACAACAGTTGACACCCTTAGTTTTATAGAATCACAGCTGTATCTTTCTGTATAAAACTATCCCTTATTTTGTCTGTAAAAGGTAAAACGAGTAGGAAATTTGTTTTCAGGCTTTCAGGATATGGAACTGGAATCGTATTTGTAGCGCTAGTGGTGATCCTGCATGCTGGGAAAGGACAGGTTCTCTTGCACCTCTCCAGCATTCAACATGACTGAATATGAAGGAACCCTACTGTCCCTTCAGCTTTTACTTAGCATAGGCAAATTTATCACTCCACTGCCTAATTACTGGGCTAAGGGTAAATGAACCTGAGCAAGATGTTTGCACACAGGAAAATGCTGTGAGGAGCTTCTGTCTGCTGTGCAGTGCCCTGGCTTTTATTTGGTTTCCTGTAAATTTGAACTTTGAATTTTTGTCCTTTAAACTTCCCTTTTTGTTGAAAACTATCAGAAAACCATCAGAATTGTGAGGCCGCTGAGGGAATCCAGTCCCTCCTCAACTGTGTCTATGTCACTTTATGTCTTAAACATGGATTATGTGCTCTTACAGGAGGAACCATCATCCTGGTCACTTCAAATGACCATTGTAATAGTGTTTATGTATCCTTGTCGGATGATGTATGATGTCCTAAGCCATTTTCAGTTAGTTAAAACCCTAAAACTAATATCCACTTGAGCTGGTTAGGCCGGGTCAGATGGTTCTTGGAGCAACCTGCTCTAGTGGCAGGTGTCCTTGCCCATGGCAGGGGGTTGAAACTGGAGCAGCTTTGAGATCCCTTCCAACCCAAACTGTTCTATTACTCTATGGCTACTACCTTTGATTTCTCCCTGCAAGTTAGCAATTCTAGATGCAGTCATTCAAGAATGGTTTATGAACTAAATGCCAACAATGACTGCTTAGGTTTTTGTTTAGTTTTGTTACAACGTGCTTCATTTTGTCTGCTCTGGGTACACTTACATTGGCTCGTGGAGTTTGCGCTGGCTTCCTTGAAAGCGTTGAAGACATTGATAAGAGTAAAGTGATCTCCTGCAGGGTGGGAGAATTTTCGCCAGCAAGTAAGAGCAATCTCTTCTGTTCCAGGAGGTGCGTGTAAGAAGCAATTAGGAGCTTAGGAAAAACATCAAGCCAGTGGTTATTAACACACACAAATGCATGCACAAGTACTAACTCCACTGGAATTCTTGTTTATTTTCCTTCCTCGGTTCCCTTTAGTCTTGAGTGTTGGATTGCTGCTGAAGAACTGAATCTATTGTATTCACTAAGGCTTAATTTCTTTGGATGTCCTTTCAATCTTGTTAATATGTGCTATAAACACATATGAGGGTGAGCAGCTTTCTCCTGCCAAAAATGCTTCATAATGCTATGATCCAATTTACCCAGAATCCAAACGTCATTTCTTTCATACAGAATGAAACTAAACCTATGGATATAATGCCTTTATTTGCTCCTCACATTTCTGTGTGTTGAAATTTGTGCCTCCCAGTGCATTTTACATGTGTTGTGGTTCTGAGCTACATAACTGTGTCTTTCACGATGGTCGAGCTTTTTAAAAACTGAAGCGTGCCTATGCTCAATCATTGACATTTGTTGTATGTGCTTAAGAATTTCATACATGGTTTGGCCCACTGTTGAAAATCAAGCCAGCTGGGGCATAGGAGCAAGTTGTTCCATAAGAACAACTAAAGC